AGCACACTTGAAATGAACTCTGGACCTTGTATCTGCTCCTTGTAAATGGGATAATGAGGGAATAACACACACCTGGCCATGGAACAACTGAGCAGCCAATTGTCCCATTACTTTTGGTCCCTTGAAAAGTGGGAGGCACATATACAAACTGTTGTAATTCCTACACCGTTCACATGATTTGGATGTAAATACCCTCAAATTAAAGCTGAAAGTCTGCCGTTAAAGCACATCTTGTTCATTTCATTTCAAATTCATTGTGGTGGTGTATAGAGCCAAAAAGATTAGAATTGTGTCGATGTCCCAATATTTATGGACCTGACTGTATATATATATATATATATATATATATCACAGACATACATCTATGTTATTGTGTGTATATAAATGTGTATGTGTTTAGTAGATAGCTCCCTTATTTGGTGTCCTTAAATATTGCAATCTCACATAAGGGTAACAAATAAGTGAGTTGTCTACTAAACAATTGAAAGATTAAAATTAAGAAAAGGGCTTTTTTAATTTTTATCTTTTAGCTGTTTTGTAGATACTTCCCTAAATTGCTGCTCTTATGTAAGATTTCCACATTTAAAGATACTAAATTAGGGTGCTGTTTAGCAGATAGCTCCCTCTTTTTGTTTCCTTAAATATGGCAATCCCACATAAGGATTGCAAATATGGGAGTTATCTGATAAACAAAAATTGAAGTTAATATGTGCCAGCCAGCCCACAACAAGAACTCTATGTGGCTAATGTGAATTCACATGCTGGCATCAGACAACCAATGGCAGCATATTACCCTATGCCCTAGTGAAAAGTTTTAGTGCCCCCCCAGTTTTGACTGTGGTATCTTATGTGCTGCCCTGCCCCATCCCGCCCCATCCCGCCCCATATATTGTTCCTAGAGTCACCTCTGTGTCTGCGTGTGTGTCTGTGTGTGTATGTATCCGCATATGTGTCAGTGTGTATATGTGCATACCTCTCAGAATCTCGCCAACATTACACACAAATACACCCCTGCATTTCAACGTCAACTACATGCAAACCCCACTATTCTATATAACCACACCACTGCATTCAAAAACCACACTACACACAAATGCATGCTTTCATTCAAACACCAACACTACATACAAACACACCCCTACATTCACTCAAACATACTCCATACAAAAACATGCTAACATTTAAAAACACAAACACTGCTTAGTGCTAAATACACTTTTTTTTTAAATTGTGGTTGTGTTTTACATTTTATAGTTGAGGAGGTGACAAAAATAGGACCATGGGTGCCAAAGGCTCTAGGTACGCCCCTGCCAATAGCATCTATTAGAGTGACTATTCAAATTTGTACTAAGAACATACATGCGGAGATAGTGTTTCCCTTTCACCTAATCTGGAAAGTGTCAAAGGTATTAAATTCATAATTCAAAGTTAATTTCAAATGCAAGGACAAACTGAAGAAAATTAACATGGAGAATTATTCTAAATTTTTAAAATTAACTTTTATTTCATGTCGGGTCTCACTTTAGTGAATAACGCTCTTTGCTCCAGTAAAAAAACAAAACTGTATTCATCTCATATGTGAGTAATTGTAGAATTGCTCCTTTATGTAAAACTGAATAATATTTATTTCCTTTTTGTGGTGGGTTGCAATACCTGGGGACTTGGCAGTTGTGCATCCTGGTTTTGTGCTGCCCCCCGCACCACCCCACCACCCCACCCTTCCCCCCTGCCCCGCCTTCTAAATACACACACATTCACTGACAGACACGCATACACTAGCTAACAGACATACACACTCACTAAAGGACACACACATAGTAACACACTCCCTAACAGACACACTCCCTGACATACACACACTCGCTAACAGACACACACTCACACACACTAACAGACACACACACACTAACAGACACACACACTCACTAACACACTCACACTAACACACACACACACTCCCTAACAGACACACACACACACTAACAGTGTTTTTTTTTTTTAATTCAACCCCCCCCCCAGCCTCCTTAACTTTGGGAATGCTGGGGAGGGTTCTCCCTTTTCCTGGGGATCCAGTGGCTGCTGGGCTGCTGGGTGGGCGGGCAGGCGGCGCTGGCGAGGGAGCACTTTCCCCTGAGCTCTCTGCTCATTTAGACAGGACGCCGGCAAACTGCCGAATTGCGTCGTAACAGAATGAGAGCAGTTTCTCCATTCGTGTTAGAACGCAATTCGGGACTTCGTTCGGATCGGAATTTCATTCGAATGAATTAAACTCCGATCTGATTCATGCCATGGCTGCATCTTGCAGCCACATAGTTGATAACTCCCTAATTCCCACGGTATCAGGGAGCTATCTACCAAAAGGCTGAAAGACCTAAATTGGTCTTTCTGCCACATATACTAATACTAAGTATTAGTAAATTCTGCCCCTACTCGCTATACCGCGAGTAGGGACATGTCTATTAAACAGTGAGCGGCGGGTGGGGGCCATAAAAGACAATGAGTGGGGACCTATTGTCTTCCACCCCTGGCCCCCACCCCTGAGCGGCGGGTGGGGCCCCTGAAGGATAATGGGGGGGCCTATTGTCCTCCCACCTGGCCCCCACCCCTGAGTGGCGGTTGGGGGCCCTAAAGGATAATGAGAGGGGGACCTTTTGTCCTCCCCCCGGCGGTGGGTGGGAGCCATAAGCGGTGGGTGGGAGCCATAAATAACTATTGTCCCCCCCCGGCGGGTGGGGGCCCTAAAGGATAATGAGAGGGGGACCTTTTGTTCTCCTCCCCGGCGGTGGGTGGGAGCCATAAGCGGTGGGTGGGAGCCATAAATAACTATTGTCCCCCCCCGGCCACCACCCCTGAGCGGCGGGTGGGGGCCATAAAAGACAATGGGGGGGACCTATTGTCCTCCCCTCAGCCCCTCTGGCCACCCCGGCCCCCACCCCTGAGCAGCGAGTGGGGGCCCTAAAGGATAATGGGGGGCCTAAAGGACCTATTGTCCTCCCCCCAACCTCCACCCCTGTGCGGCAGGTGGGGGCCCTAAAGGATAATGAGAGGGGACCTATTGTCCTCCCCCCGGCCACAACCCCTAACCAGCAGGTGGGGGCCATAAAAGACAATGGGGGGTGTGACAGATTAATCTGTAGGTCTAGTATTGCTGGTTCGTCTAGTTTGCCTCCCTTCGCGGAATTGCCTGTCCGTATGCCCCTATTCGTCTTTTTGAACTCCTACCGAATGAACTTACCGAACGGACGGCCACCCAGAAGATAAGTGTGCTGCTGGTTAACCTCTTGATCCCAATTAGAACGTTGTGGTTAACCGAAGACACCTCTTAATTATAACCGAATACCGGGTGGTCGTCGTTCGTATGCCGACCATGAGGCGGCGGCCATTTTGGAACACGAAAGACCAGCGGTGTTCGGCGCAGATTCTATGGAACTAAAAACAGACACTTTTTCTACCAAACACCGCTGAATCTACCGACCGCCCTTCTCATTCGTCGAGGCATGCGAACACCATTCCGTTTGGATAATACAAATGAACTTAACCCAGATAGCCATCCCATGGAGTCAATCGCATACCGAAAGACCTGTAAAAGACTTTGACTCCATGGCGATTGAACTGTGCGTATGGGATCTGAGCGCTATTCGGTAGGAATATGCACTCAGATCCAGGCTGTCTGGGGATACGTTACACGAATGTAATATATTCGGTATTTGTATAATTACTCATTTTTATGTGTTTTTTATGTTTCATTTAAAATGGTGATTTGCCTCTGTCCTGGGAGATAATTGAATTACTTCTCAATTATCTCCAGGCAGGGCCGGACTGGCCCACCGGGATACCGGGAAATTTCCCGGTGGGCCGCGGCACCTGGGGCCGGTCTGACCGCTCCTGTGATCCCGGCGGCCGTGTGTGAGCTGTGCGGCCGCACATAACCCCATGGGAGCAGGGGGAGCCAGGCGGCCGGCTCACACATGGCCGCCCGGGATCATTTAAAAAAAATAAAAAAATTTGCGGCGGGGGCGGGGCTTAGCGTGCGGCGGAGGCGGAGCTTACTGTGCGGCGGGGGCGGCTAATTGCCGCATGGGAAGCAGGAAGGAGTCCCTGCTTCCCCAACAACCAGCCTCCAGGAACAACAAACAGGAGGGAAGAAGGAGGTCAGTGTGAGTGTGTGACTGTGTGTGTGTGTGACTGTGACTGTCTGTGAGTGTGTGACTGTCTGTGACTGACTGTGTCTGTGTGACTGTGACTGTCTGTGTGTGACTGTGTGTGACTGTGACTGTCTGTGTGTGTGTGTGTGTGACTGTCTGTGTGTGTGTGTGTGTGTGTGTGACTGTGACTGTCTGTGTGTGTGACTGCCCTGTGAGTGTGTGACTGTGTGTGACTGTCTGTGTGTGTGACTGTGTGTGTCTGTCTGTGTGTGTGTGTGTGTGTGTGACTGTGACTGTCTGTGTGTGTGTGACTGTGTGTGTGTGAGACTGTGTGTGTGTGACTGTGACTGCCTGTGTGTGTGTGACTGTCTGTGTGTGTGTGTTTGTGTGTGACTGTGACTGTCTGTGAGTGTGTGACTGTTAGTGTGTGTGTGACTGTCTGTGTGTGACTGTGACTGTCTGTGTGTGTGACTGTGACTGTCTGTGAGTGTGTGACTGTGTGTGTAACTGTGACTGTGTGTGTGTGACTGTTAGTGTGTGTTTGTGTGTGACTGTCTGTGTGTGCGTGTGACTGCCTTTGTGTGTGACTGCCTGTGTGTGACTGTGACTGTCTCTGTGTGTGACTGTGTGTGTGACTGTGTGTGTGTGACTGTGACTGTCTGTGTGTGTGACTGTGACTGTCTGTGAGTGTGTGACTGTGTGTGTAACTGTGACTGTGTGTGTGTGACTGTTTGTGTGTGTTTGTGTGTGACTGTCTCTGTGTGCGTGTGACTGCCTTTGTGTGTGACTGCCTGTGTGTGTCTGTCTGCCTGTGTATGTTACTGTCTGTGTGTGACTGTGTGTGTGACTGTCTGTGTGTGTGTGTGACTGTGTGTGTGTGGCTGTCTGCCTGTGTGTGTGTGTGACTGTCTGCCTGTGTGTGTGTGTGTGTGTGGCTGTCTGCCTGTCTGTATGTGTGGATGTTTGCCTCGGTGTCAGTGACTGTCTGCCTCTGTGTGTGTGTGCGCACCTGCTAGTGAGGGAGCCTCTGTGTGTGTGTGCCTGCTGGTGAGTTTGTGTGTGTGTGCCTGCTAGTGAGTGAGCTTGTATGTGTGTCAGTGAGCTTGTCTGTAGGGATCATATGTGTGTGTTAGTGAGCTCTTGTCTGTAAGGAGTATGGGTGTGATCGTGGGCTTGTCTGTAGTGAGCGTGTGTGTCAGTTAGCTTGTCTGTAGTGAGCGTGTGTGTCAGTGAGCGTGTGTGTCAGTGAGCGTGTGTGTCAGTGAGCTTGTCTGTAGTGACCATATGTATCAGTGAGCTTGTCTGTAGTGACCATATGTGTCAGTGAGCTTGTCTGTAGTGAGCGTGTGTGTCAGTGAGCTTGTCTGTAGTGAGCATGTGTGTCAGTGAGCTTGTCTGTAGTGAGCATGTGTGTGTCAGTGAGCTTGTCTGTAGTGAATCTGTGTTAGTGAGCTCTTCTGTAGGGAGCATGTGTGTGTGTCAATGGGCTTGTCTGTAGGGAGAGTGTGTGCGCATCAGTGATATTGTCTGTAGTGAGCGTGTGTGTGTGACAGTGAGCTTGTCTGTAGTAAGCTTGTGTGTGTATCAGAGTTTGTCTGTCCTAAATTTGTGTCTGCCAGTAACCTTGTCTGTGTGTGTCATTGAGATTGTCTGTCAATGAGCCTATTTGTGTGCATCAGTAAGATTATCTGTGTCTGTGTGTGAGTATGCTTTACTGTATAATTTAATTACCCTGAAATGACTAATATTGTGAATTAGAAGAAGAAATGTATCAATAATATATATATATATATATACATACATACATACATTAAAGGACCACTTTAGGCACCCAGACCACTTCAGCTTAATGAAGTGGTCTGGGTGCCTGGTCCAGCTAGGGTTAACCCATTTTTTTCATAAACATAGCAGTTTCAGAGCGCTATGTTTATGAATGGGTTAAGCCTTCCTCTATTTCCTCTAGTGGCTGTCTCATTGACAGCCGCTAGAGGCGCTTGCGTGCTTCTCACTGTGATTTTCACAGTGAGAGCACGCCAGCGTCCATAGGAAAGCACTGTAAATGCTTTCCTATGTGACCGGCTGAATGCGCGCGCAGCTCTTGCCGCGCGTGCGCATTCAACCCAGGAGGAGGAACGGAGGAGGAGAGAAGGAGGAAAGCTCCCTGCCCAGCGCTGGAAAAAGGTAAGTTTTTACCCCTTTCACCCTTCCAGAGCCGGGCGGAAGGGGGACCCTGAGGGTGGGGGCACCCTCAGGGCACTATAGTGGTCCTTTAATATATAACACCCTACATAGCACAATGACTTATGGGGCTGGCATAGATTTTTTTCCAGGGCTGCTTCATATCCCCAGTCCGGCCCTGTCTCCAGGGCAGAGGGGAGGAAACCAGGATGCATTGTGGGAATATTCTGTGCCTGTATGTCCTAAAGTGCTACATGTCTGTCTGTAACTACAGTCTCCCATTTGGTCCCCTAGGGGAGTGTCCACCAGGTTGGCGACCTGCATAAATATGGGCGGGTAGCCCACAGTAAAGCCAGTTCTTGTTTTACCCTCAATGCGGAGCTTGGTCTCGTTATTGGGGGGATTTACTACACACGGTTAGTGACTGATTGCTGGAAACGTAAGCCGCTTGGAGAATATATTTGTTCGGTTGTTAGCCACAATTCGTGGATTTATTGTTCGGGAGTTTGGAGAACGGATCCCGTTCGGGAGATTGTCGCATTCCCCTGGCTCCAGTTCGTGCGGTTGAGGTATACACGAATTGAGCCTGCATTACTGAGGAAGGGGAAGCTTAACTAAACGGCGGTTTCACTCCTTTGTGCCAGGGGTGTCTTAACAGAGGGGACCTATTGTCTTCCCCCCCGGACCCAACCCTGAGCGGTGGGTGGGGGCCATAAAAGACAATGAGGGGGACCTATTGTCCTCCCCCCTCGGCCCCACCCCTGAGCAGTGGGTAGGGGCCATAAATAACAATGGGACAGCCACTAGAGGATTAGGGGGAAGGCTTAACCCATTAATAAACATAGCAGGTTTGTCATCCCCCGGCCACCACCCCTGACCGGCGGGTGGGGGCAATAAAAGACAATGAGGGGGGGACCTATTGTCCTTCCCCCAGACCCAACCCTGAGCGGTGGAATGGGGCCATAAAAGACAATGAGGGAGGACCTATTGTCCTCCCCCCCTCGGCCCCCACCCCTGAGCGGTGGGTAGGGGCCATAATAACAATGGGGGGACTTATTGTCCCACCCCCACCCCTGAGTGGTGGGTGGGGGCCATAAAAGACAATGAAGGGGGGACCTATTGTCCTCTCCCCAGCCCCCACCCCTGAGCGATGGGTGGGGGCCATAAAAGACAATGAAGGGGGGACCTATTGTCCTCCCCCCAGCCCCCACCCCTGAGCGATGGGTGGGGGCCATAAATGATAATGAGGGGGGGGACCTATTGTCCTCCCCCCCATGGCCCCCACCCCTGAGCGGCAGGTGGGGGCCATGAAAGACAATGAGGTGGGGGAACCTATTGTCCTCCCCCACGCCGGCCCCCACCCCTGAGCGGCGGGTGGGGGCCCTAAATTAAAATACCCCCTTCCAAGGTGACTAGGGGTCCCCAAGCTCCTAGTCACTCCCCCACCCAAGTAAAAAAGAATCCCCTACCTACCCCCCTCACCTGAGTGCAAAAACAAAAAATCCAACGAAAAAGAAAAAAACCTGATGCTAGTCATTTTACACCGCGCAGGAAAGTTCTTTGGAATTTTCCCAGGCTGTGTAAAATAACACAGAACACTCTGATTGGATGGATTTCAAGCCATCCAATCAGAGTGTTATGAGTCATTTTACACAGCGTGGGAAAGTTCTTTTGAATTTTCCCACGCTGTCTAAAATGACACAGAGCACTCTGATTGGATGGATTTCAATCCATCCAATCAGAGTGTAATGAGTCATTTTAAACAGCGTAGGAAAGTTCTTTGGAACTCCTGTGAACAGACCTGGCAGTTCACCTACTTGCTTTGTTTGCGCCTTTGGGGCCGTTCGCTCCCCTGTTCATGCTATATAATTGTGCCACGACCGGTGAAGCGTGGAACTGCGTTCGCTGAGATTTCCCTCCCCTACTTCTTCCCTCCCATATTGTTCACATTGAATTCAGTGCGAACAGACTGGGCAGTCCCTATTTGCACGAACGGTCGGAACTGGGTGAACAATCATACGTTCACTTGTTTGTGATGAACAAATCTGCCGAACGCAGTGTTACTTACCCTGTATCCCGCAAAGCCTTTCGTGGGCTTTTAAAGTGACGTGCCCAGAACTCGCGAGACCCACGTTGGCCATCTTGTTGGTGTGTTTGGCGCGGATGTGAACCTTCAGCAAGTAGAAGCTCCTGATTTTGTGTCGGATTATAGCTGCTGAAAGAGTGATTTCCTTCCAGTTTTCCACAGGGACCTGTTCAGGTGGGTGTGTTAACCCCTGAGGAGTGGGACTGCCAGTCAGGTATAACCTAGTATTCTGGCAAGGGGTGAGCCCCCGTTTGGGTAAATCCCAGAGTGCTGCCTACCGGAATCTGCTGTAGCAATTCCGTTTTCCTGGGTGAGCCCCAGTGATTACAAGGGTCTGCTTTACCACGCTATTAGGCGTTATATAATATACGGCCAACGGCCTATTGACATGTCCCTTCCACACGGTCCCTAGACCTCTCCTACCTGTGCCTGTTTTCTGCCTAGTATAATGGAGGATACACAAAAGCCATTGACCTGCAGGCCATGATTAACGCGGCTGTAGTCGCATCCCTCAATAAAGCCATGGCAAAGGTGCTTCCAGTGGCCTCTAATACCCTCAAGCCGACTGGCAAAACTAGTTGCACCAGGGAGGACTCAGAAGAATCAGACGATTCCTCCAGGAAGAGACAGCACTATTGGAAGGGCAAAGAATCTCGAAAGGCCGCTAGCAAGGGCAAGGCGCCCCTTAAACGAAACAAACGCAAACTCGTACCCGTGGCCCCAGCGTTCCCTAAAGAAGTCTCCTCGGACGAGGACAGGGATATGCCCCACTCTCTCTCCATCCTCGAGGCAGAGGTCTCGGACTCAGACGAAGGTGATTGGGGCTCCAACGCCTATGTCACGGAGACCTTTCTGGATGAGCCCCAGAGTAAAGGAGATGCGTAGTCTTCCACGACGACTGCTACTCAAGAACAGGAGGTCTTTATGGATACCACGGGACAACGGATGTTTGATCCCAGGAACATACGCCACCCCGCTCTGGGGAATGGGCTCCACCTGACCACCTCCTAAAATTTATGCATTTCTGGATCCACAAGCCTTTGGAGAAGTATGTCCAGCAAAAGGATGCGGGCGGAGTGCCCTAGACCTTCCCTGCGAGATAAGGTGGTATTTACGCCAGAGTTTGACCAACTCATGCTGGCCGTCATGGAACGAGGCGGTCGCTACCCACGCAGAGGGGTCAAGCGTATCTTCAAAGGGGCGCAAGACAGGCTCCTGGATGCAATGGGGCCACTGGCCCAGGTGATGTACCTGGCGGATGACGCTTACGCCAGAGCAGACTCCTTTACCGTGGATATGGTGTGTGAATGGGCACATGACATCAGGGAGTGGAGAAATACCAATGCAGCCCTCTCGAAAGAGCGGCACCGCGCAGCTCTCTTCCGCATTGACCCAAAGTTGGCTGACCTTGGGGTAAAAGAATTAGGCCCACAGGCACAGGGCAAACTTTTTGGAGAGGCGTTCATGAAGGAGCTCAACAAGCATGTGAATGTATTCACTTCTCCATGCATAAAGTGT